GTAAAAAGATGAGGAAGTTCTCATCTGATTGTTTTCATTTTCTCCATGAAATATGATGAAAAGGTCCACATTCATATGTTTAGATCAGTCTCATTCCTTGTAATGCCAATATGGTATTTTATCATATGGTGTACCACAATTTAATTATTAACTAATCAATCCCCTATTGAGGAACTCTTAAGTTGCTTTCAAGATTTTGCTATTACAATGCTGTAATAAATATTCTTGTGTGTGTGTGTATATATATATATGTCTTTGAAAATATTTCTATTTCTGTATAATGGACTTACAGAAGTAGATTTTCTAGATCTTCACAATGAAATTTTTAATAGGTATGGCCAAATTGTCCTCCTCAAAGGTTATATTTATTTATACTCCTATCCAAAGTGTATGAGAGTGTCTATTTTCCATACCCTTGGAAACACTGATGTTATCAATCTATATATTTGACATTCTGACAGGTTATAAAAATGTAACACCTAGTGTCTAGATCTTGGTTTCTAAATACCTTTTTTTTCCCAATAAAAGAAAACAGGGGACAATGTAGAAATAGTTTATTCTAGCACTGGGGTATGGAAAACACCAGATGAGCCTGGAACATCTTGTGGTGCCAGAAAATATGGAAGTAGTCAAAAAGTGGGGACATATAAAAATGACATGGAAGCTCCCAATGGCCACAGCTAGAACAATCTGAGCAACAAAATAATGACAGTATTAGGTTTTAAGTCATAGAATAAAATAAATGTCCACTAGTCTATGCTGCTGTAAGTAAATGAGTAAATAAAAAGGAGAGATGGGACATCTTCTTCAGAGAATTTCAATTAATATATACAGATGAAATAAAAGAAATAGAAAATCACTATTAGGTAAACATGACAGTACTGATTGTCACCGTAAGAGCCATTGATGAATGCTAAACTTAGCGGGCAGAAATATGATGAGAAACAGAATATTTGAATGGTCTCAATGCATCATCTTTAATATACTTATTAATTACAGAGAGAAAAATAGTACTTTACTGTAAAGAAGAATAGCAGACATTACCTTAACCAAGTAATCAAGGTTAACATGACAAGTATTAAGACATGTCAGGATCAGGTATCTCCTGGTATATGCACTAAAAAGGACACAAGATTATTTCTGTGAAATTCTTATCAAAAATGCATAACTTGAATATAATCAAGGGAAAATGTCAGACAAACCCCAATTAGGGACATTCTGCAAAATAACTGACCAGCGAGAATTGTCATATTTAGGAATAGATTAAGGATACATGATAACAATATGCAATGTGGGATCCTTGATCATAAAAGGACATTAGTGGGACAAATGGAAAAAATCAAATAAGGTCTGCACATTAGTTAATAGTACCGCATTGATATTATTTTCCTGGTTTTGATAATTGTACCATGGTTATGTAAGATGTTAAGCTGGGTGAAAAATATATGGGAACTCTCTTACTGTTTTTGTGACTTTTTGATAAATCTAAAAATGTCTTTTTTAAAATATCTTTTTTAAAAAACATTTTTTAAAGAGAGCTTATTGTCCTAATTTGTATTACTATTTTGAATATTTTTCTTAGTTTATCATTTGTATTTGTTTCTCTATAAATTTTCTTTTTGTACTCACTTTATAGTTTGTATGTTAAGAAAATTATATATATTGTATAAGGAAATTATCTCTCTGTGTGTGACAAATTATTTTCCAGTTTGTCTTTTGATTTTTTTTTATAGCAGGTTAGTGTGTATATGTGTATATAGATTTTTTAACTGACGATTTCTGCTGACTTGTGGGCAGAAAATAAGAAACAGTAGCCACATGGCTTTAACTCTCCAATAGTAATCAAAAGATCACAGAATATGGACATGACTGAGAAACTTTTTCTTTCCTCCATTAAAAATTACATTTATTTTAAAATGTTCATACAGTAAAATTCATCCTTTTTGGTGTACAATTCTAGGAGTTTTGACAAATGCATACACTTGTGTAATTATAATCAAGATACAGAAAATTACCATTATTAACACAAAATCCTTGTGCTACCATTTTGTAATAGCTCCCATTTTTAACCCATCATCCACTGATTTGTTCTGTTTCTACAGTTTTACTTTTTTTCCCAGAATATCATAAATGGACTCTAACAGTAAGTAGCCTTTTGAGTTTGGCTTCTTTTACTTAGCAAAATGCATTTGAGATTCATCCAAGTTGCTCCATGTATCATAGTTCATCATAGTTTTTATTGCTGAATAGGATTCCATTGTATGGATATACCACAGTTTATCTATGCACCAGTTGAGGGACATCCTCCATTTTTATTTTCCTCTACTGTTAATGGTCTAGTAAAGGGCAGAGGTGAGATTTTACACCCAACAGGAAGAAGTTCCTTCTGAAAAGTCCAGCTTACAAATATGCTCCCGGGTAACATGCAAGTAGTTATACCAGGATAACTTATTTCTTGTCCTTTAAACTATAGTTAAAATTGGAGTTAATCATAAGTGAGCAGTATATCAAAGGAATAGATGTTTGTCCTGAGTATAGTTAGATGATATCCTCAGATCAGACCTGACAAATATTCTGGAAGCCAAATCATTGGCAGAGTATTAAAAATTTCTTTACTTAAAAAATACTGAAAAAAGTAAAAATCAGCCCAAATCACACTTTGAAAATTCTTATACAGCAAAAGTCCCCTTTCAGCCTATCCAATCCCACCTCTAAGAGGTTTACAATTTGGTATGTATATTTCCCATCTTTTTCCTAAGTTTTTTCAGAAATCTATATATACATATATGATACATATACAAATGCTTTTGTTTATAAAAACATATTCACGTTATACATATTTCTTACTTTTTAACTTAATACAAAATCCTGAACATCATACAGGTTAGAATGTATTCATAGATATACCTCATTATTTTAATGGCTGTAGATATTCCACTAAATGGATGTGCCATAATTTATCCATTCTCATACTGATGGACACTTATGTTGTATCCAGTGTTTGTGTATGTGTGACTTTATTAAAATGTAACTCAGATACCATAAAATTCACCCAATTGAAGTATATAATTCATAGTTTACAGTATATTCACAGATTTGTACAATCATCATCACAATCAATTTTAGAACATTTTCATCAAGCTCTAAAGAAACCCCATACACTGAAGCTATTACCCCCAGCCTTAAGCAACCACTAATCCACTTTCTGTCCCTATATATTTGCCAAGTCTGGACACTTCATATAAATGGAATCATATAATATATAGTCTTTTGGAGTGACTTCTTTCATTTAGTATGTTTTCAATGTTGTAGCATTATTATCAGAAGTGTTCCCTCTTCTACTTTTTGGAAGAGTTTGTGAAGAATTTGTACTAATTCTTCTTTAATATTTGCTAGGGTTAATCTGAGAAGCCATTTGAGTCTGTGCTTTTCTTTATGGGTATTTAAAAATTATTAAGGAAACTCTTACTATAAGTATTTTCTTTGCACTCCTCCATTGGCTTTAGTAGTTTGTATATTTCCAGGAATTTATCCCTTTCATCTAAGTTACCTAATTTACTGTCATCACACAATTGTTCACAGTATTCCTTCATGACTTCTATTTCTATAAGTTTGGTAGTATAGTTCCCTTCATTTTTTATTCTAGTAATTTGAGTCTTCTTTTTTCCCCTGGTCAATCTAGTGAAAGGTTTGTCACTTTTGTTGATCTCTATATAGAATCAACTTTTGGTTTCATCAACTTTCTCTATTGATTTTCTATTCTCCGTCATTTATTTAACTAACCTTTTATATTTCCTTCCTTTTGCTTGTTCTAGTTAGTTTCCTCCTCTTTTTCTAGTGCCTTAAGGTATAAAGTGAGATTACTTTTACATTATCTTTCTTCTTTTTAATTATAGGCATTTGTACTTGTAATTTTCTGTCTAAACATTGCTTTAGGTGCAGCCCATAAATTTTGGTATGCTGTGTCTTCATTTTCACTCATCATAAATTAACTTTGCAATTCCTTCTTTGACTCATTGGTCATTTTAAAGTGTGTCTAACTCATATTTGTGTTTCCCAACTTTCTGATATTGATTTCTAACTTCATTTCATGTGGTCAGAGAACACGCTCTGCATGATTTCAGTCCACTTAAATGTATTGGTTTGTTTTATGGTATGTGATATGGCCTATCTTGGACATGTTTCAATTGCACTTGAGAAGAATGTATATTCTGCTCTTGTTGAGTCAAGTGTTCTACAAATCTCCTTAAGGTCTAGTTGACTTATAGCATTGTTCAAGTCTCCTATTTACTTGTTCATCTTCTGTCTAGTTCTATTATTAAAAATAGGGCACTTAATCCCCCAACTCTTATTGTATACTTTTATATTTCTCCATTCATTTCTGTTTTTGATTCATGTATTTTGGTGCTCTGTTGTTAGGTGCATATATTTATAATTGTTATATCTTTTGATAGATTGATTCTTGTATCAGTATAAGATGTCACTGTTTATCCATACTGATTTTTTTGTTTTAAGGTCTATTTTGTCTGATATTAGTATAGCTGCTCTAGTTTTCTTACAGTTGCTGTTTGCCTGGTATTTGTTTTTATCCTTTAACCTTCAGTCTGTATGTTTGAATTGAAAGTGTGACTCTGATAAATAAGTACAGAAGTAAGTCTTGTTTTTTTCCCAGTTTGATGATTTCTGCCTTTTGATTGGATTGTTTAATTCATTCATACTTATTATTATTATTAATTAGGTGGTCTTACAACTGCTATTTTACTGTTTCTTTTCTATTCTTTATGTCTCAAACTTTTGTTTTATTTTGGTTTCTCCATTCCTTTTTTTGCTTTCTTTTGCATTGAGTATTTTTAATGTAACATTTACATTCCTTAAATAATATATTCACTATATATTTTTTAGCTATTTCCTTAGTGGTTGCTCTAGGGCTTACTATACACAACTTAATTGGCTTCAGATATATATATATATATATACACACATATATATGTGTGTATATATATATATACACACACACACATACATACACACACTAAATTCTAATGAGATATAAAAAAACATATTCCTATATAAACATTCCTTTTCCCAGTTTTTATGTGGTATTATTGTTACTATTATTATTATTTCTACATGTTATAAACCCAACAATACATAGTTATAATTATTAATACAATTTTGCCTTTTAAGGTAGCTGAGAGAAGAGTAAGTAAGTATATATTTATAGATTTTTTATATTAAACTTCTTATTTCCCATTTCTTGTTTTCTTCATTTGCTCCTGGATTTGAGTTACCATCTGGAGTAATTTCTTTAGTACAATACAGCTTTGTTTTCACCAACTTCCTTTGTCCTGTTATTAGTAAATATATTACAGTTTCATATGTTATAGATCCAGCAATGCAACTATATACATATTGTTTTATAAAATTACATTTTCAACCAATTAAGAAGGGAAAAATGTATTTAGACTGTCCTTTATAATTATATAATTATCTTTACCTGTGCTATTTTTTGAATGTGTAGATGTAAATTACTGTCTGAGGTGACTTGCTTTCCACTTGCAGAACTTCCTTTAATATTTCCTGTAAGTCAGATCTGCCAGCAACAAATTCTCCCAGCTTTTGATTATGTGGGAATGTCTTTATTTCATCTTCATTTTTGAAAAACAGTTTTATTGAATATAGGATTCTATATTGATAGTGTTTTTTTTCTTTGAGCACTTTGAATATGTTATCCCACTGCCACATCAATTGTTTCTGATGAGACATCATCTGTTAATCTTATTGAAGTTCCCTTGTAAGTGACGCTTCATTTTCCTCATGTTGCTTTCAAGAGTTTCTCTTTGTCTTTGGATTTTAGCATTCTTATTATGGTATGTCTGTGGATTTCTTCCTGTTTATCCTATTTAGGGTTCATTGAGATTTCTTGGATGTGTAGATAATGTTTCTCATCAAATTTGGGTTGTTTACAGCCATTATTATTGGAATATTTATTTCTTCTCCTCCTTTCTTTCTCTGGTATTCCTATTACAATTACATTGGAGTGCTTAATGTTCCTATACCCTGATAAATTTTCATTTTTTTCCTTTCTGTCCTTCAACCTGGATACAATCATCACAATCCAGTGAGGTAAGTAGTATTATTATCCTCATTTTTATTGATGAGAAAACTGAGGCTCAGATTAAGTGACTTGCCAAGGTCACAGAGTGGTAAGTATGGCTGTGGAGTTCCAACAGGTCTGACTTCAAAGTTTGTACTACTTCCTCTATATCATGTCATCTTTCTAGTCTCCAGCAACTATAAACAAATAACTGGGGATTTGGTGCTGGCTGCCTGTCTTCTAGAGAGCTCTTTTTCTTTTAGTATTCTTTGCTAGTAAGTTCCTCTTCTAAAATTCATATATCTAATCCTTAGCATATTAGACAATAATTCAATGTTTATTGCTTTGAATTCAATGATTACTCAATGGTAGCTAGCTTAAATAACTATGAGAACATTAGTAGTTTGATCTAAATTATTTCATTAGAAAAAATATATAGCTTTTTGAAGACACTGACAACTTAATGCGGAAGTGCTCATTAAATATGTTGACTGACTTATGAAAACTACCTACTGTTACTGCTGATAGTTCTCATTTAACAGCATTTACTGATGTTTAGACCTGGGGTCCTGGTCATTTATTTATGAGGTGAATAAAATTAGGGCCAAATGGGCTCCAGAAAATAAATATTTCAAAATTTAGTTAGTTTTTTTTTTCAGTTCTGCATATAGGAGGCAATCTTGGAAAGAATGTTATCTCAAGGGACAAATATTTAAGACCTCATATAAATTACAAAGATTAAAAAAATCCTTGGAAATAATCCATTGTAATTTATCCTGAGAAAATTATACTCTTTGTACCCTACCCTTCATACTCAGTATACAGTCTACCCTGTGGTCTTTGATTATAGAAAATGTTTTCTACCAATTCTTTCGAAAAGCTGAAAGGGATGACCTTAATTAGACTTCCTCTCCCTTGGTCTGTTTCTTTTGTTCAATTCCAAACAAACTGCTATCTATACACAAATCTTAGATCTAAGATTCTGATGCAAGAAAGACCTCCTGGGACTCACAATCTATATGTATTCTAGCTACCACTGATTTCTGTAGTGCTATCTGTAGTAGATGATATTATAGAAGTAGTATGGAGATCTGACCGTTGCTTTTTGTTCTTTCCAAATTCTATCACTAATATTTTCCCACGTAGTTTATATCCATTTACCAGACGCAATGCTTGCCATGCTATTTCCTTATCTAAAAGAGAAAGAAAAAATATCAGTTTACATATGGCTTAAAAATTCAATTCTATTCCATATCTAATTTATGTTGTTTTTGCCTTGGAGTTAAGTGTAAGCTATAAGGTCATAAAGTTATTTGGTTGTATTGTGTTTTCCATAATCTCAAATTTGTATAACTCAGCAAGATTAAAGTAATGGTTAAGAATAATGACAATAAAAACTTAAAATACATTTGAGAGTGTCTCCTAATTCAATGATACAGGGAAAGAAACAAGGATATAGACAGTGTGCTAAAGAAGGCTAAGCTGTAACTAATAATACACAAGACTCTATCTTAGATAACAGATTATAGGTGTTGTGAGAATGAATGACATCATTTTCAAAATGGGCAACACAAATAAAAGAAGTTATAGTATTGGGGACATTTTGCTACTTTTTCCTTTTGATCAGAAAGTGGTTTTAGAAGCCCTCATTAGGACAAATAAGTTTAAGAATCCTTATAGGCATATGGAAGCTTGAGGGGTGAGAATATATAGTGTATAGCAGGAGGATTCAAGTTATGGGTTTAGAGCTTGGATGTAGGATACTAAAAAGGAGTGGAATTATTGCCCAGAGCCTATGAAATCATAAGTAGACAAGCAATGTCTTTAGATTGAACCAATTTATGTCTCACATGTGTATACACTACAAATTTTCAAATGTAGATAGCTGCTGTTATAATTAGTAAAACAGCTATTTATTTAAAAGTATTTAGTAAATAAAGTCTTTTTATTACATATCTTTTCAATTAATGGATCATATTAGGTGGGGGTGCAGGAAATAATTTTTTAAGTTGAAAAAGTCCTCACACTTAAAAAGACTGAAAGCCACTAGTGTTGAGGATCCACAAACCTTCAAAGAGATCAATGAGATAGGACAGTGCAGAGGTGTTTGGTATTGCTCATGTGTACAAGCACTTGCCTATAAATAGATTTCTAGGCTGTATATAAATGATGATAGTTTATGGATAATAAAAATACAGGTCCTACCCAACCTCAACCATAAAAGAAAGATAGTCTAGTCTGTCATAGAAACTGAAATTCCTATGCAGGTATAACTTGTTTAATTGCACTTTGCTTTATTATGTTTTGCAGATATTGCATTTTTTACAAATTGAAGGATTGTGGAAACCCTGCACTGTCAGATGATGGTTAGCATTTTTTAGCAATAAAGTGTTGAGGTATGTATATTTTTTAAGACAAAATGCTATTGGCACACTTAATAGACTATAGTATAGTGTAAGCATAACTTTTATATGTACTAGGAAACCAAAAAATTCATGTGACTTGCTTTATTGAGATGTTCACTTTATTGTAGTGGTCTGGAACCAAACCTGCAGTATCCCTGAGGTATGCCTGTATTATTCCTCCCTTTGGATTAGGATACTGAAGTCATGCATTAAGATGCAAACAATAGTTAAAAGAATATATCATCCATTAATTAGTTACGAATTACTAGTGAATTAGCATATTAGCTTGCAGTCTCTTAGTCCTAAAAGAATAGGGCATAAGGCAAGTACAAGTGTTCTGATCAGAATACTAATATACTAGTAAGTAATGCAATTATAACTTGGACTAGAAATATTACTTTTAGCAAAGGGAAAATAAATTTTGATAGCATGAGAAGGAAGTGTCAAGACTGGGGCAAACTGAGGACAATGGGGTAAGGTGGTCATGCACTGTCAGTGGAGAAGAGGAAGCACAAAATGGAGGATAGAACAAAATTAAAAATATGTTTTCCTTACTTCTCTTACCTTCTTCCTATGTGCTTCTTTAAGCACATGCTTCTCATGTGCTGTGGAGAAATCAAGGAGCTATATCTAAATTAGAGAGGGTATAAGTACTCTCTAATGAACTGATGCTACAAATGAGTAATTATCCAGATGAAGCTACTTACTGGGGAAGGTGATAAAAGCTTGCCCCCTCATTCGTCCAGTCATCATTCGGAACTGAATTGGAGGTCCTTTTTTCTCCTGGAACCGAGCGAATAATGAGACAAGATCTCTTTCAGTCACCCGAGGACTAAGGTTCTTCAGGTATAACACCTAATATAAATCAAGGATCAACAGAAATATCACATGAGGGAGGTAAGGCAACTATTTCATTGTGGTAAGAATTAGTTAGTTTCAGATAAAGATGCTGGATTGAACACATACATCTAATTTCATTCCTTTCAGAAAACTCTCTAAAACTATACGGGCTTTTTTCTTTTTTAAATACAAATCCACAAGGTCAGGAAGAATAGGGAAAGGAGGCAATAGCAACAATATTCTGGAAGCTAGAAAATAACTGGATGAATGTACTCAGGAAAGCTGAATCTTAAACCAGCAGTGGGGAAAGCCAGGAACTAACCCAGTCTATACCTAAGAAACCTAAAACAGTTCAGGAACTGGTATTTTTCAGGTGCCTCTTGAAATGGATGTAAAGAGATGGGATTAAGATAAGGTGGGTAGGTTGAAAGCTCTTTGAAAACCAACTAGATCTTTAAACATCCTCCCCTACAATATGCTACTAGACCACTCCCAAACCTGGTGAATATTGGAGGCTCATTCACTGACTATGGGTAATGCTAGACACAGTTGGGGATATGAATGTTATTTCTGAAAAAAGGGAGATTAACAGAAATAATGCATTCTGAATGGTGAGGACACAACAAATACTCCCTGCCATTTGACTCCTATAATTCTGGTAGTACCCTCTCAAGTAAGAGTTCTGAAGTGTCTTCTCTGGTGAATCTGATTAGCCTCAACAGGAAAAATCTAAAAATGCTGATTTGGGGTGGGGAATTTCTGTAACAAATGGACCAGCCAGATGACTTTAAAGTGAAGCTCAAAGTCAATAAGGACCACTCATGTGCTCAGAGCTTCCAATCTGTTTTTCGGACCCTACTCATAAATACGAACATGGATTATCAGACATCTGAGGAAAGCCTCTAATGTGAAACAGAACAGAACAAACTAAGAAATGAAAGTAAATGGGAGAAAACAGAAACCATGTAAGGAGGAAAAAAACTTCAAAAAACCATCACTAATATCCTCAGAGAAATAGAGAATACTCTATCTACTAGGAATGGGATGCTATTTTTTAAGAAAGTAATAGTCAAGAAAACAAAAAAGAGCTCATAAGTGTGATTGAACTTAAGTTCTTATTGGCTTAAAATAGATTGTTATAAGATGTTTTAAGTAAGCGCCACTGTAATCATAAAGAAAATACCTACAGAAGACACACAAAAGAAAATGACAAAGGAAAAGGCACATCATTATGAAAAAAATCCGTGAAACACAAAGGAGGACATCAAGAGAGAAAAAGAGAAACAAAAGAGCTATAAGACTGAGAACAAGTAATGGCAATAGTAATTCTTTCCCTATCAATAATCACATGTAAATGGATTAAATTCCCTAATCAAAGACATAGAGTGGTTGAATGAATGAAAAACAACATCCGATTATACACTGTCTACCAGAAACTCACTTTAGATTTAAGGCCATACAAAGGCTGAAAATGAAATAGTAAAGAAAGATATTCCATACAAACTGCAACCAAAAAAAGAGCAAGGTTGGCCATGCTTATATAAGCTAAAATAGACTTTAGGTCAAAAACTGTCAAAAGAGACAAAAAAGGACATTATATAATAATAAGAGTCAATTCACCAAGAAGCTATAATGACTATAAATATATATGCACTCAATATCAGAGCTCCTAAATATATGAAGCAACACAATAGTACTAGGAGATTTCAATACCTCACTTTCAATAGCAGAAGAAAAACTAGAATATTCACAAATATGTGGAAAATAAACAACATACTCTTGAACAACTAATGGCTCAAAGAAGAAATCTAAAGGGAAATTAGAATACCTTGAGACAAAATGAATATAAAACCACAGCATACCAAAATTTATGGGATGCAGCAAGAACAGTACTAAGAGGGAAGTTTATAGCAAAAAAAAAAAGCCTACATTAAAAGAGAAGAAAGATCACAAACAACTTAACTCTACACTTCAAGGAACTAGAAAAAAAAGAACAAACTAAGCCCAAAGTTACAAGCAAATAGTAAAGATTAGAGTAGAAATAATCAAAATAGAGATTAGAAAAAAACAGAAAAATCAACTAAACTAAGGGTTAGTTTTAAAAAGATAAAAACTGACTACCTTTATAGCTAGACTAAGAAAAAAGAGAAAGATTCAAAATCAGAAGTGAAAGAAGAGACATTACAACTAGATACCACAGAAATAAAAGGATTGAGAGACTACAATGAACAATTATATGCCAACAAATTGGATAACCTAAAAAAAGGATAGATTCCTAGAAACATACAACCTACCAAGGTGAAATTGTGAAGAAATAGAAAATCTGAATAGATGTATAACTAGCAATAAGATTGAAACAGTAATCAAAAACCTCCCAACAAAGAAAAGCCCAGAAAAGGATGGCCTCACAGGTGAATTCTACCAAACATTTAAAGAAGAATTAATGCCAATCCTTCTAAAATTCTTCCAAAAAAGTTGAAGAGGAGGAACACTCCCAAACTAATTTTATGAAGCCAGCATTACTCTGACACCAAAAGCAGAGAAAGACGCTACAAGGAAAAAAAATACAGGCCAAAATCCCTGATGAATATAGATGCAAAAATGCTCAACAGAAAACTAGCAAACTGAATTAAAAAGCATATTAAAAAGATCATACACCATGACCAAGTGGGATTTACCCCTGGGATGCAAGGATGGTTCATATGAAAATCAATCAATATGATACACCACATTAACAGAATGAAGGATAAAACCATAATCATCTTAATAGTTAGAGAAAAACCATTTGAAAAAATCCAACATTCTTTCATAATAAAAATGCTCAATAAACTAGGAATAGAAGGAATTTATTGATATTGACTATCAACATTGATATTGACCTTGCCAATGATTTCTTAGATATAATATCAAAAGCACAAGCAACAAAAGCAAATATAGACGAATGTCATTACATCAGTTAAAACCCACCTGCACAGCAAAGGAAACATTAGCAAAGTTAAAAAGCAACCCACAGAATGGGATAAAGTTTTGCAAATCACATATCTAATAAAGGGTTAATATCTAATATATATAAGGGACTCCTAAAACTCAAAAGTTAAAAAAAAAGTGTTGGTGAGGATATGGGGAAATTTTAACCCTGTACACTGTTGGTGGGAATACAAATTGGTACAATCACAATGAAAAACAGTATGGAACATCCTTTAAAACTTAAAAATAGAATCCACATTATACAGCAATTCCACTTCTGGGTATATCCCCGAAAGAACTGGAATCAGGATCTGGAAGAAGTATCTGCATTCCCATGTTCACTGCAGCATTATTCACAATAGCAAGGACATGGAAACAACCTAAATGTCCATTGACAGCTGAATGGATAGATAAAATGTGGTGTATAAATACAACAGGGTATTATTCAGCCTTAAAAACAAAGGAAATCTTGTCATTTGCTACAACATAGGTGAACTTGGAAGACATGGTAACTGAAATACACCAGAAACAGAACAAACAGTACAGGATCTCGCTTATATCAGGAATCTAAAATAGTCAAACACATAGAAGCAGAGAGTAGAATTGTGTTTACCAGAGTTAGGAGGAAGGGTGATAGGGGAAGCGTTCATCAAAGGGTATATAGTTTCACTTATGCCAGATGAATAATTCCTATAGATCTACCATACAGCATAGTGTATACAGTTAACAATACTGTATTGGATACTTAAAAATTTGTTAAAAGGGTAGCTCTTATGTTGAATGATCTTATCATAAGGAAAAAGGAGGGAGGAAATTTCTGGAGGTGATAGTTAAGTTTAGGGCATGTATTGGTGATGGTTTCACGGTGTATACTTATCTTCAAACTCATCAAGGGGCATAAATTAAATATGTACAGCTTTTCTGTATGTCAAACACTTCAATTAAAAAAAAAACTTAGCCAAGGAAGTGAAGGACTTGTACACTGAAAACCACAGAACATTGCTCAAAGAAATTAAAGAAGACACAAATAAATGCAAAGATGTCCCATGCTTATGGACTGGAGGACAATATTGTTAAAATGTCCACACTGTCCAAAGTGGTCTACAGATTTAATGCAATTCTTATCAAAATCCCAATGGTACTTTTTGTAGAAATAGAAAAAATAATCCTAAAATTCAGAAGGAACCAGAGGAGACCCCAAATAGCCAAAGCAATCTTGAGAACAAAACTGGAGGCCTCACACTTCTTAATTTCAAAATATATTACAAATGTACAGTAATAAAAACAGTATGATACTGGCATAAAGTCAGACATGTAGACCAATGGAACAGAATAGAGAGCCCAAAAATAAAACTGCACATATACAGTCAACTGATTAACAAGGCCGGGGACGGGGGTAAGAATACACAATGGGGAAATAATAGTCCCTTCAAGAAATGCTGTTGAGAAAAGTTGATATCCACATGTAAAAGAATAAAACTGACCTCTTTTTTATATCATACATGAAAATCAACTCAAAATGTTAAAAATTTAAATATAAGATCTGAAACCCTAAAACTTCCAGAACAAAACACAGGGGAAAAGCCTCTTGACATTGGCCTTGGCAATGATTTATTAGATGTTACAGCAGAAGCAAAGACAACAAAAGCAAAAATAAAGAGGAACTACATCACTAAAACACTCCTGCACAGCAAAGGAAACAATCAGCAAAATGAGAAGGCAGCCTACAGAATAGAAGAAAATATTTGGAAACTATATATCTGATTAGGGGTTAATATCCAAGATACATAAGGAACTCCTGCAACTCAGTATCAAAAAGACAAATAACATCCCC